GGTTGACACAGCCTTCCCTCCTTCCGACGTGGGTAAAACGAGGACCCGGATTGTTGTTGGGAGCAATATGCTGACTCTGTAAACCGCTTAGAGAGGGCTGAAAGCCCTATGAAGCGGTATGTAAGTCTAACTGCTATTGCTATTCTTGGGTTGCGGAACCAAACCAGTCAGTTATAGAGGTGCAGATGACAGACTCAATAATTCCTCTGTGACATTATATAGCAGAGCAATTTTTGGGAAAAGTGGACTGCTGGAGTTGGAAAGTGAATCCCAAAGAAGCTGACAACAAGCTGCTTTAACTGCCAGAAAACGTCCTTGGCATCATTCACAGTTCCTCTGTGTTCTTCCTTTCCCATCCTGTTGCTCTTCTGTTTTGGTTTTTGCAAGGGAGGACAATTCAACCAAGCAGGTCTGTGAGTTTAGCAACGTGTGTTGTGCGCTTGTGTGTAATATGTTGCAAGCAATGAACTTAAGCATGCTCCCCCCACCAGTCCCCATAGGAACTGCATGATCCCTCAGCCGTGATGAAAGAATAGGAAACAACCACCCAACCTAGAAAGGCAACACATGCTTTACTCACCACAGGCAACATCAAGGAGCACTAGGTAAGTGAGAGCCGTCCACAGGAAAGTCATTTTGGCTGCTACTCCCAGGAGGTTTAGGTCCCCGGGTGCTAGGTTTTTATTACTATGAGCCGTGGCACTTCGCCAGGTGTGGTTGACTTCCCCGCCCCACGTCCTTGGATTGATGATAGCAGGAGCAGACTAAATTTAGCCTTGGTGGCATGGTGCAGGTGCCTTGTCAAGGACGTTTCACCAACAGTGCCACAGAGTTTGCAAACAACACCTGTTTCCCATAACGGTCTTTTTCTTTCAAGCTGAAAGCTCCGTGTTGGCCAAAAAAACACAATTGCTACCAACCTGCCTTCCACTGAGGACCTGCATGAGTCAAAAAAAAAGGGCTGTGAAAATATTTACAGACCCCTCACATCCTGGACTTAAATTGTTTCAACTCCTACCCTCAAAATGAGGCTACAGAGCCCGGCACGCCAAGACAACTTTTTCCCCCCCAAATGTTAGTTTAGTTTAGTTTAGTTTTGGTTTATTTGTATGCC